GTTGATGTTGAGCGAAGCTTCTCTGTATATAAAAATATTCTTACAGATAGAAGACAAGCTCTTTCAGAAAATTCAATCGGTATTTTGAATTTTATGTATTTTAATAAAGTCGAATAATTTTAAATAAATTCCAAGCAAATATCGTATCAATATGGACAAGGGGAAATAAAATATTGATGATTGCATTAATATGTAATCTTGACGTACTTTTGATGTCTAGGTAACTCTGGTATGACATACTTTCAACGTAAGTCAATGCCAAATAAATCTTTAATTATAAAGCTGGTTTGTATATTACAGTGCTAAATCCGTTATGATTAATACTTACAAGCTATCTAATACTATATAATATTTATGATATTTTCATTTCATTACAATTAAAAGTTTCGATATTTGTCAGGGATTAATTATAGCTTCTCACTTTTCATCGAATCATATACTTCGTATACTAATATAAACTTTTATTAATATAAAGAAATTTTGCATTTTTAGAATAACTATCGTATCATATGCTATTTTAAGTTTTCGTTATACATCTAAGATTTATTTCTAAAATTTTAAAAATAATATTATTAACAATTATTTTTAACTTGATTCAATACCTTTCGTATAGCCAAAGAAACTATATCTCTCAGGAAATTAGTGAAATCTTTCGCTGTCACAAGTTAGATTACAAAAAGCTGAAAACCCTGAAAATCTTGTGAATTTCCCATGATATCGTGGTCTGCACCTTTCCACTCTTTTTGAAAACAGCTGTAAACAATTATGACATTTTTAATAAAATATACGTATTGAAATATCTGTGCAATTTGTTTGAATGAATCTATCACAATTTTCAAGAAATAAACTTACATTCGGATTCGTAACTTCTTCCAAATACGGCTAATTTTCTTTATAATGCACTGGATATTTTGGAAGAAAAAGAGTTTCCGGGAGTTCACACCACACAAAACATATAAGTTTAAAAAATTTATGGCTTGTAAAGGCGTTCGTTCCACAGAATCGATTGTATATTTAATATACATATTTGCACATATGTGCACATATGATTCACGAAAAACATGTCACATATGCACATATATGCACATCACATTTCCCCGTCCACTCTAATTCGAATGCTACGATAATTTTCTTTTACGTAGCCGATTTTTTCACTATCGGCCAATTTTGCGTGTAATGTGATCATACTATCATATGATTCCATGGATCATATGTTATAACCGGCCACCTAAAAAGTTTCGAAAATCATGTGATATTGTTAATCCAGGAATATTATTGATTTAATAAGTGATTTTTTCCTTCAATTATTCAAAATGAAAAACCAATTGATTTCTTTAAAAGCATAAAATCCAATAACACAATATTTTAAAAATATGCGTAACCAATTTCTACTAATAATAAACGAAAAAAAAGAATGAAAATCGAAATAAAATTATAATAACCAATCATGAAAATGCAAATGTACCAGAAAACCTTGTAGATTTTATTTTTAATGCTTTTCCAGAAGACTATGACTCTGATTATTTATTTGAGAAAAAATTCTGGATCCAAGAAAACAATGAATCCAAATGGTAACAAATGGCTCGATAGTATTAATAAAAACTTTTGAGTTTTTGCATAAATTGGAGGAGAATTATTTATAAGATATTGGTCATGCAACGATTGAAATTTGTTTTTCGGATGGCCTCACCTTTGAAGATTAAAAAAAAAATTGTTTTTCGGAGCAAATGATTGGCTGACATGTGCTGCCGACAGAACAAATTTTGTAATATTTATTATCGCATGATCCAATTAGTGTTGGAAATTTTGGACTCAAACACTGTTCTCATAAAAACAGTATATTAGCTACAAGTGTTCTCAAACTTTAGTTAATGTTCTCACTAAAAAAAAAAAAAAAACCAATATAAGTAGTTGTCATTGCTGTTATTATAGCAAATTGAAACACCTTTTATCAAAATTAAATAAAAATTTATCAATTTTTGGTTTTGGTATAAAATTATATAGCTAATTATTATACTTATCGTTATGAGAACAATATTATGATTTTACTGTTCTCAAAAAAATTTTTAATAGTGAACGGTAAAAAATTTATACTGTTCACAAATTTATAATAGTGTTCTCACGAGAACTCTGAGAACACTAATTTCCAACACTGGATCCAATATCGATGTTATAGTGCAATTAGATTACGGTACGATTCCCCGAAAGCTATTTACCCGACTGGTCACTTACCCGACATCACAAGGGTGACAAATTGCTAAAAATATATACCTGCAGCTAATAAAATGCTAACCTTAACCCTATGTGATGTCGGGTAAGTGACCTATCGGGTAAATAGCTTTCGGGGAATTGAGCAAGCAAAATCTCATGGGAAACATTTTTTGTTAGAGCACAAACGATATTTTCATATCGATGTGATTTTTTGGAATAGGTGCGATTTCTTTTTTTTTTATTAAATTTTGTTATTTGCTGATCCAATTATAGAAAACTAAAGACGTTTTAGGGATTGAACCCGATTACCCGAAATATATAATAATACTCTGGTAGAGATTTTCTCAACGGGTCCAATCTCTAAGACGTTTTGAGTACAGTACGTATGTAGTGTAACAATGCATTACTTAAATAAAAAGATTATCATAAGATAGGAGATCTTCACCAAAAAAGTAGAAAAGCCAAATACGAACCTAAATAAATAAAGCTTAAATTTAAGATGTTGTATTTTTCTAGTTTATGCTTTTTTTCCTAAATCGAAATGCCATCATACATCGGTGCTATCGACCAAGGAACGTCGTCTTCTCGTTTTTTAATTTTTGATGAGAATGGAAAAATTGTAGCACTTCATCAAATTGGATTCCCTCAATATTATCCTCATCCTGGGTAAATTGTTATAATGCTGGAAGTCTTACAATTTTGTTTCATTTCGCCAGTAACTCGTTCTTCTAATAAACTTTACAAAACTTCGTATTGAGAAACAATGTGTTAGGCTTCCAACAATATATTATTTTGCATTGAATAATTCTTATCAATCGAATGATTAGATTTTTCTCTAATTATGTTTTTTTTTTATAGGTGGATTGAACATAATCCTAATGAACTTTTAGACTCTGTTTCAGAATGTGTTGATAAATGCATTACCAAATTTTTAAATGATAAAACTTGTTCTATTAAAGATATCAAAGCCATTGGGATCACTAATCAACGTGAAACGTTTATTGCATGGGATAAAAATACTGGAAAACCTCTCCATAACGCTATTGTTTGGAGTGATACTCGCACTCTTGATTTGGTTCATCATTTGACTGAACAAATTAATCACGGTGCTGATATATTTAAGAAATCATGTGGGTTACCAATATCCACATATTTTTCGGCTGTGAAATTGTTGTGGATGATTAATAATGTTCCTGCTGTAAGAGATGCTCACAATAATGATACCCTTTTGGTTGGAACTGTTGATACTTGGCTTATTTGGGTATTATTCTATATTTACCCTCAATACTATATGTATTTTTATATATGGGGGTCAATAGAAAAGGGCAAATCATTTTTAGTAAAATTTTTTTAATTTTTTAAATTGAAATATCTCAACAACTATCTAATCAAATTTGATAAAATTTCTTTATTTTAATCTTAGTATTGTATATAATTAAAAAAAATTTATTAAATTTGATTAAATAGTTGTTGAGATATTTAAGTTTAAAGAAAACTCAGAAAAAATTTATCCCTTTTCTATTGACTCACTCCCATATTTATATACACATACTCATAATAATAATATTTGCTTGTTCTTACGTTAAAGAATTTAACCGGTGGAATCAATGGCGGATTACATATCACTGACGTTACAAACGCCTCTCGTACTATGTTCATGGACCTTAATACTTTAGAATGGAGTCAAACCATTCTTGACTTTTTTAATGTTAAGAAAAATTGTCTTCCTAGGATATGCTCATCTTCCGAAGTCTATTGTCACATTAAAATAAGAGATAGTGAAATTCCAATCGCTGGAATTTTGGGTGATCAACAAGCTGCTTTAGTAGGTCAAAAATGCTTTAAAAGTGGTGAAGCTAAAAACACTTATGGTACTGGTTGTTTTATGTTATTTAATACCGGTACTACTCCTTTTTTTTCAAAATCCGGTCTACTCACAACCGTTGGATACAAATTTGGAAATAATCCTCCTGTTTATGCTCTAGAAGGCTCCATAGCTGTCGCTGGTTCTGCTATCCAATGGCTTCGTAATAATTTAGGCATTATTAAAGAATCTAAAGATATTAATGACCTCGCTGCTTTAACCCCAGATGTTGGTGGTGTATATTTTGTTACTGCTTTTTCTGGTCTTTACGCTCCTTATTGGCGTGATGATGCTCGAGGGTGTATAGTTGGGATTACTCAATATACGAAAAAAAGAACATATTGCTCGTGCAACTCTTGAAGCCACTTGCTTCCAAACTCGTGCTATTTTGGAAGCTATGAATAGTGATTCTGATTATCCTTTAACTTACCTAAAGGTTGATGGTGGTATGACTGCTTCTGATTTGTGCATGCAAATCCAAGCTGACATTCTTGGAATAGATGTAGACCGTCCTGCAATGAGGGAAACAACTGCATTGGGTGCAGCTATTGCTGCTGGTCTTGCTGTCGGCGTTTGGAAATTAAGTGATCTGGATAAAGTTAATAGCGATGGTAAAGATGTTTTTAAACCTCAAGTCTCTCGAGAAAATGCTGCACAAAGATATCAACTTTGGCAAAAAGCTGTAGAGAGAAGTTTTGGTTGGGCATAATCAATTAAATTAGTAATTTCATTATAGCATTATTAGAACAATAATAAATTTGGATTTTATTAATATATTTTTATTAGGCCATGCAAAGTAAATTAGTCTCTCGTTGCTTGGAACGGGATAATAAACCGGCAAAAAAATGTTATACTGTACTTAAAAATTAATGTCGCGGATTATCGTGAAATCGGATCATCGTGAAATTTGGGTCGCAATTTGAAAATATAAGCCCTACCAAACTCCACCTATACTCTTTTATTAATAACTCTAACCCTAAATACTAACTATAAAAAAAGGCTACCAAAAATTTTTAAAAATCGTACATAAATAGATTCAAATTTCACGATGATTCGATTTCACGATAATCCGCGACAATAAAAAAATTGATATTTGCTATTTATCACTACTGGTGATCACCAGTTTGCAATATCTCAAAAACGAGACTAAGAAACAGGGGTCAGATGTATTAAGTAAAAATGTTCAGAACCCTAAAAACCTCGTGTAACCTAAAATTTGGACTATTTTAGCTGACCCCTCTTTGGTTTTAAAATTGCACCCTAACCCTAAAACGATATGTGATGAAAACCACCAGTGATTTGAATTTTCAAAATTTTTATAATTTTTTTATGCAATAAAAAAATTTTTAATTTTTATAAAGTTATCCGACGGGTAACGAGAACCAATTTTACTTGTTTGCATGGACTTAGTTATGTAATTGTGTACACGAAATTAGATAAAAAATATTAGCAATATAAAATACTAAGATAAAAATTATAAATTTATACTAAAATCAATATAACCTCTACATATATTGCAGCATCTATCACTAGCTAGAATACCTTGCGCAAAATGTTAAAATATTTAGTAAATTTAATTCTGAATACAATTAATTAAACGAACTACATATTTACATAACCATTTAATAACAATCAAGATAACAATTAAAAATATCTTCAACAAATTTCAAAAAGTGAATATACAATATATTACAGTAATAAATAATACAAATTATTAAACAAGAAAAGTTAAACATTTATGACCACAACCAGTTGGACATTCTTCATTACAACTAAACCAATCTTGCATATGAGAATGATGACCTCCGTGACTACAACCTTGACACCAAGTATATAATCTTTTTACCGTAATATGGCTATTTGATTAACATGTAAAAAATAAATATAAATAACTTATAGTAATCAAAATCAAGATAAGTAAATAAAACTAACCATAGAGAGCATAGATTTAGCCTTTTGCATTTTGCACACAACCAAGATTCGTTTTTTGCATCATTTATGGGCTTAAAACAATTGTTACATGTCGTATAAATCGTTGTGGAGTTCTTTTGAAAATAAGTAAAATTAATCAAATGTATTGGAATAAAAATATTGAAAAAATAAATAAAAAAAAACCTGATTTAGTATTCCAACATCCGTATTATTACAATATTTTATCACAGAAGTAGCAGCACACCAAAGTTGAAACCGGTGCAAAAGGTCTGTGAATTTAATATATTTAACACAAGAATGATAATTTTTTAATGCAGTATGAAATATAAACAGTCTTACCAACATATGAATAAAACCACTGTTTTGCTTTTTCTTCATTTATCTTGAGTTTATCTCCAAGAACCAAAATCAAAGTAACACACATTTGTACATCACCCTAATGAAAATGAATTACTGTTAGATACTATCTTTCTTGTCCAATTTCATTCTATAATTTCATTTGTCCGAACCTGTTCTGCATAATAATCAAGTAGTTGTGCCATCATTGGTTCTTTATCCCATGAAGGGGCCTTAAACTCTGACCTAACAATTGTATTGGTAGTTGGAGCCGGGGTTTGTTCACGTTTAAGACAAGATTTGTCCTCAGTATCATCGTCCTGGGTAAATTGTTATAATGCTGGAAGTCTTACAATTTTGTTTCATTTCGCCAGTAACTCGTTCTTCTAATAAACTTTACAAAACTTCGTATTGAGAAACAATGTGTTAGGCTTCCAACAATATATTATTTTGCATTGAATAATTCTTATCAATCGAATGATTAGATTTTTCTCTAATTATGTTTTTTTTTTATAGGTGGATTGAACATAATCCTAATGAACTTTTAGACTCTGTTTCAGAATGTGTTGATAAATGCATTACCAAATTTTTAAATGATAAAACTTGTTCTATTAAAGATATCAAAGCCATTGGGATCACTAATCAACGTGAAACGTTTATTGCATGGGATAAAAATACTGGAAAACCTCTCCATAACGCTATTGTTTGGAGTGATACTCGCACTCTTGATTTGGTTCATCATTTGACTGAACAAATTAATCACGGTGCTGATATATTTAAGAAATCATGTGGGTTACCAATATCCACATATTTTTCGGCTGTGAAATTGTTGTGGATGATTAATAATGTTCCTGCTGTAAGAGATGCTCACAATAATGATACCCTTTTGGTTGGAACTGTTGATACTTGGCTTATTTGGGTATTATTCTATATTTACCCTCAATACTATATGTATTTTTATATATGGGGGTCAATAGAAAAGGGCAAATCATTTTTAGTAAAATTTTTTTAATTTTTTAAATTGAAATATCTCAACAACTATCTAATCAAATTTGATAAAATTTCTTTATTTTAATCTTAGTATTGTATATAATTAAAAAAAATTTATTAAATTTGATTAAATAGTTGTTGAGATATTTAAGTTTAAAGAAAACTCAGAAAAAATTTATCCCTTTTCTATTGACTCACTCCCATATTTATATACACATACTCATAATAATAATATTTGCTTGTTCTTACGTTAAAGAATTTAACCGGTGGAATCAATGGCGGATTACATATCACTGACGTTACAAACGCCTCTCGTACTATGTTCATGGACCTTAATACTTTAGAATGGAGTCAAACCATTCTTGACTTTTTTAATGTTAAGAAAAATTGTCTTCCTAGGATATGCTCATCTTCCGAAGTCTATTGTCACATTAAAATAAGAGATAGTGAAATTCCAATCGCTGGAATTTTGGGTGATCAACAAGCTGCTTTAGTAGGTCAAAAATGCTTTAAAAGTGGTGAAGCTAAAAACACTTATGGTACTGGTTGTTTTATGTTATTTAATACCGGTACTACTCCTTTTTTTTCAAAATCCGGTCTACTCACAACCGTTGGATACAAATTTGGAAATAATCCTCCTGTTTATGCTCTAGAAGGCTCCATAGCTGTCGCTGGTTCTGCTATCCAATGGCTTCGTAATAATTTAGGCATTATTAAAGAATCTAAAGATATTAATGACCTCGCTGCTTTAACCCCAGATGTTGGTGGTGTATATTTTGTTACTGCTTTTTCTGGTCTTTACGCTCCTTATTGGCGTGATGATGCTCGAGGGTGTATAGTTGGGATTACTCAATATACGAAAAAAAGAACATATTGCTCGTGCAACTCTTGAAGCCACTTGCTTCCAAACTCGTGCTATTTTGGAAGCTATGAATAGTGATTCTGATTATCCTTTAACTTACCTAAAGGTTGATGGTGGTATGACTGCTTCTGATTTGTGCATGCAAATCCAAGCTGACATTCTTGGAATAGATGTAGACCGTCCTGCAATGAGGGAAACAACTGCATTGGGTGCAGCTATTGCTGCTGGTCTTGCTGTCGGCGTTTGGAAATTAAGTGATCTGGATAAAGTTAATAGCGATGGTAAAGATGTTTTTAAACCTCAAGTCTCTCGAGAAAATGCTGCACAAAGATATCAACTTTGGCAAAAAGCTGTAGAGAGAAGTTTTGGTTGGGCATAATCAATTAAATTAGTAATTTCATTATAGCATTATTAGAACAATAATAAATTTGGATTTTATTAATATATTTTTATTAGGCCATGCAAAGTAAATTAGTCTCTCGTTGCTTGGAACGGGATAATAAACCGGCAAAAAAATGTTATACTGTACTTAAAAATTAATGTCGCGGATTATCGTGAAATCGGATCATCGTGAAATTTGGGTCGCAATTTGAAAATATAAGCCCTACCAAACTCCACCTATACTCTTTTATTAATAACTCTAACCCTAAATACTAACTATAAAAAAAGGCTACCAAAAATTTTTAAAAATCGTACATAAATAGATTCAAATTTCACGATGATTCGATTTCACGATAATCCGCGACAATAAAAAAATTGATATTTGCTATTTATCACTACTGGTGATCACCAGTTTGCAATATCTCAAAAACGAGACTAAGAAACAGGGGTCAGATGTATTAAGTAAAAATGTTCAGAACCCTAAAAACCTCGTGTAACCTAAAATTTGGACTATTTTAGCTGACCCCTCTTTGGTTTTAAAATTGCACCCTAACCCTAAAACGATATGTGATGAAAACCACCAGTGATTTGAATTTTCAAAATTTTTATAATTTTTTTATGCAATAAAAAAATTTTTAATTTTTATAAAGTTATCCGACGGGTAACGAGAACCAATTTTACTTGTTTGCATGGACTTAGTTATGTAATTGTGTACACGAAATTAGATAAAAAATATTAGCAATATAAAATACTAAGATAAAAATTATAAATTTATACTAAAATCAATATAACCTCTACATATATTGCAGCATCTATCACTAGCTAGAATACCTTGCGCAAAATGTTAAAATATTTAGTAAATTTAATTCTGAATACAATTAATTAAACGAACTACATATTTACATAACCATTTAATAACAATCAAGATAACAATTAAAAATATCTTCAACAAATTTCAAAAAGTGAATATACAATATATTACAGTAATAAATAATACAAATTATTAAACAAGAAAAGTTAAACATTTATGACCACAACCAGTTGGACATTCTTCATTACAACTAAACCAATCTTGCATATGAGAATGATGACCTCCGTGACTACAACCTTGACACCAAGTATATAATCTTTTTACCGTAATATGGCTATTTGATTAACATGTAAAAAATAAATATAAATAACTTATAGTAATCAAAATCAAGATAAGTAAATAAAACTAACCATAGAGAGCATAGATTTAGCCTTTTGCATTTTGCACACAACCAAGATTCGTTTTTTGCATCATTTATGGGCTTAAAACAATTGTTACATGTCGTATAAATCGTTGTGGAGTTCTTTTGAAAATAAGTAAAATTAATCAAATGTATTGGAATAAAAATATTGAAAAAATAAATAAAAAAAAACCTGATTTAGTATTCCAACATCCGTATTATTACAATATTTTATCACAGAAGTAGCAGCACACCAAAGTTGAAACCGGTGCAAAAGGTCTGTGAATTTAATATATTTAACACAAGAATGATAATTTTTTAATGCAGTATGAAATATAAACAGTCTTACCAACATATGAATAAAACCACTGTTTTGCTTTTTCTTCATTTATCTTGAGTTTATCTCCAAGAACCAAAATCAAAGTAACACACATTTGTACATCACCCTAATGAAAATGAATTACTGTTAGATACTATCTTTCTTGTCCAATTTCATTCTATAATTTCATTTGTCCGAACCTGTTCTGCATAATAATCAAGTAGTTGTGCCATCATTGGTTCTTTATCCCATGAAGGGGCCTTAAACTCTGACCTAACAATTGTATTGGTAGTTGGAGCCGGGGTTTGTTCACGTTTAAGACAAGATTTGTCCTCAGTATCATCGTCAGAAGGTGGATCACTATCCGAATAAGACGAATCTTCATCCTTTAAAATAATTAAATTTAAGCAATAAAGGAAATAATTGAACTCTTTCTAATATATAATCATCCTCCTTACAATATCAGCTGCGGGATTTATAGGTTTATCTACGGTGCTGTTATGATCCTTTAAAGAATCAGTATCTTTCGCTTCGCTTGGTGATTTGGAATGATTAGCTGATGATAGATCTTTCAAAGAAGATTCTTCCGACCCTTCCTTATCTGAAATACATTAAATTTGTGGGCAAATACGAACAAAAAAAGAATTTTAAACAACAAGTTACAAACCTTTGTTAGATTCTGTCTTGTTCACTTCAGATGGTGTTTTCTTCCCGTATAATAATTGAACAACTTTCCACGTCTGGGCAGTTCGGTGTCTTTGAACATCCCAGGCAATCTACAAAAACAGTTACACTAAAATCGTGAATTCAAAAAATGAATAAATAAATCAATAGGCAACCTATCAATTTTACGCTTTATCTACCTTTGCATTATGGTCGCACATAGTCCAAATATCCGAACCAGATGAGATATAATTTATAGCAAGATATGAAAAAGATTTGGGGTCAAACGTTGGAAGTGATATAGAACCAGTTTTTTGTAATTGATGGTGATCCTTTCAAAAATAGATGGATAAATTCAGACCATGAAGTAAAATAGATAATAATAATAGAATATAAATCAAATAAATATTAACTTCACTACGAGCTTCGATAACACTAGGATAAGATTTCTTTTGCATTATATGAAACTGACTACTCGATGGCATTGATCTATTTCTATAAATTTTAAAATATTATAAATATTATAACTTTGCAATTATCATTCACTTCTTATTACAAATTAATTTGCCAAAGTTACTTACTGATCTTCAGAATGTGATTCGTTTGATTTCTCAATAGCAAACGCAATCTGATCATAGACACTCCAACCAATTGCACATTTACTTAACAAATCTAATTGACGGTAAGAATCCCTAATGTCTTGCTGAATGAAAAATTTATCCTTGGAACAAGACCAAAGTACATCAGATTCTCGCCATAAAAATCCTAGTTAAGATGTAAAAAAAAATAATACTTGATATATGTATATATATCTATATATCATATAGAATTTCATAATGGTTTTTATGATTACCAGTTGGAACATCCACGTGCTCTTCAAAGAAGTAACTTGCAATATAAGGTCTCTTTATATTCCACACAAAAATTCGATTATCGCCTTGTAACGAACAAGAAGCAATTTCTGATGGACTATTAAGCCGCCATTGGACACGTGCTACACTGGACATACTATAAATCGTCTCCTTTGGTTTCATACCATATGTACTCATATCCCATATCTGTCAAATGAGGAAGATGAGTATTTGATTTATGAAATTGATCAGATACGATCATTTCATACTTTAATAGCTTTATCTCGTCCACCACTAGCAATCGTTCTCCCATCAGAATGCCAGTCAATTGCAAGAACTGGTCCTACATGTGCATTAATTCTGCGTTCACAGATATTTGGTTTTTTTAGGTCCCATTTCTTTATAAGCATAATATACAAGATTTTATCATTATTCACTGAAAATCAATAATAATATAACAATTATTTATAATAATTATTATACCTGAATTATTCCGTTTTCAAATGCGGAGATAAATTCATATATAGATCCTGAATTAAATTGCACATCACGAACACTTTCTGATCTGCCATCAAATACGACAGGTTTTAAATTCGGGTCCCTCAGATCCTATAAAATAACATAAATATGTTAATGCCAAACATTCTAACAACCTCTTAATACAATAGTAACTATAAAGACTAACCCATAATTTAATTGTACCATCATGCGACGCGCTTAAGAGGGAATCACCTTGTCTTGGACTAAAACATATTCTATTCACAGCACGATTGTGAGCATTTATTTTTAATTCTGAAATTTAAAGTTACATTTAGGTTTACGGTGGGAAAATAAAATTACCTAAATTACAAATAAATATTAATTAATGTATATACCATCCTTAGGTTGACCATTTCCTACATCCCAAATAGAAATTGAACCAGTTGTCGCAG